TAGATACGACAGCTGCTAAATTTCCGGCGAATATTACAGACATTTGACTGAAACAAACTCCCGCTATTACGGACTCTCGCTGCTACAGACGTACGAACACCTCTCTCGGTCCCGACAGCACAATTTTATTGTTCCAACTCTCGTTATAACAGACCCCAATCAGCATTTTTTGGACATTTTGGTAGAATTATATTATCTCAGATTATATTTAACATTTATTCTTTGAAATCGAGGTAAATATTCCCAAAGCCACTATTCACCGACATTATCTACTCGCTAGGAGGTGAATATTGTTGAATAGTCCGAGACCAATCAGATTGCTTAAATCACCAAGATCACTGAGTGCGTATATACTAAAGTTTAATATCTCCTCTTTTTCTCTACGTCTCTGTCACTTTGGTGGAAAAGTTTAACATGATCCTTCTATGATTCAAGAACGAGAAGTCCAAAGACTACTGCAAAGCTGATAAAGAACAAACGTGTGTTGTTTTTTAAACATAACAATATTTCTGCTGGCCATACCAGCCTTCTTCAGGTTTACAGATGTTACTGAACTTATGTAGGAAACACAATATAATCTAGATGGAGAATGTCGCAATAAAAACTACCGTACTTACTTCCAAAAAACAGTCGTGATGTACTTAATGTACATAAGTTGGATTTTCTATCACCGTACTTTACGCTTTTTGTGTACCACAAATTTTTCTAATCAGTGACTGTTGTGCTGAAAGAAAGGGAGATGCAAGTTTTGTTCAGTTACGATTTGTCTTGTTTGTAAATAAAGTTCTGACGCTCTTTATATGCGAAAACTGCACTGCAATTGGTTCTGGAGACAATGTACAATACAAATAAATGTAGTTCCTCTAACATCAAGAATTTTTTACTCGCACGCTGCTGTTACGGACTCTCGCTATTACGGACACTAAACCGCGGTCCCGAGGGTGTCAGCAAGGGTGTTTGCATTACCTTCCATTGAGAAATCTAAGAGGCCGCCTTTTCACATGCCTACTTTTATAGCAATAAATTGATAAAACAGAAGGTCTTCGTGTCATTTTCATCAAACGCTTTAAAGTAAATTAAAACGATAAAACAACAAAACGCGTCTTTTCCAAGCATTTCAATTAAAGGACCTAATGCTGATTCCCTTCCCTTTAAAATATCGTTCAACTAGTTAATTATATACCCTTTCATATACCTGAAGCCTGTAAAAGGTACCCCTTTCGGTCGGAGCCTGCTAGAACTTTCCGGATTGTACTCGTCAAATGCCTGAAAGCTGCCAACTGGAATGTCAGAAAGTTGCTAAAAAATTGCCAAACATCCAAAAAGTTTGCTTCCTAAATTTCAAAAGCTGTTATTTAAATTTCTTGATATTTTTATATAAACGTTAATTAAAACTTTTATTTTTCGTTCTTCACAATCAATTGCCAACATCGGTAAAGAAAAAAAGCTTTAAACTTACCTTTAAACAGTTGCTCGCAAACATGAGTGAAATAATTAAGGATATCCCAAGGACAATTGCCGTGTATTAGCCTACTTCGCTAATTAATTATTCATCCGTCTAAAATTATAATTCTTTTTCCCTGTTATTGAGCGAAATGTGCATTAATTTGTTTTTTTCCTTTTAAGCTTACCTTTATCATTTTCTTGCGTATATTCATGTGCCTACTGCGTTTCAGACCTTACGGCACGTTTAAATGCCTTTTTAGGCCTGCGAAACGTTAGCCGTAAAGGGAAAGGGTGATTATTAACATTCGAGAAATTCGCATAAATTGAATTGTGAAATTGTTTACCAGTTTTCGGGCTTGCTGTGTGCTCTAAACCTATATTTGGCCCAAAAATTGCTCACAAAGGCAAAACTTACTCAAGGTTGCTACTAAGCGCAAAAAGTAACTGCAAAAAAACGAAAGTTGTTAAAAATTGGCCGGGCCTACCCGTATGGGCCATCATCGGGAGTTCTCCGGCGTTCCCCGGTCCTTTTACCTGTTTAATTTGCAGTAGTAGAAACTGCCGTTAGTAATGATAGCAGAATGGTAGGCAATTTTCAGCAAGAAAATTTTATTAAAAGAGGACGGAATATAAACAAATATGTAGCGAGCTGTCGGATTCATTCGATCAGCTGTAGAATACCTAAAATGATTGTAAATCGACAGTGGGAATTCACTCTTAACATCGTGGATAGAAGATAGCCCCGATACGACGACAATACGTAACCTTTCATGACTGTTGAG